AGGGGCTGCAGGGGAATCTCTGCTCTGGTGCCTGGAGCACCTCCTCCCCCTCCTTCTTCACTGACCTTGGTGTCTGCAGAGTCATTCCTCTCACATACTCTCACCCCTCACTCCAGCTGCAGTTTGTGTCCCAGTGGGTTGTTTTTTTGTTTCCCCTTCTTAAATATGTTATCATAGAGGCGCTACCACTGTCGCTGATGGGCTCAGCCTTGGCCAGTGGCGGGTCCGTCTTGGAGCCGGCTGGCATTGGCTCTGTTGGACATCGGGGAAGCTTCTAGCAGGTTCTTGCAGAAGCCCCCCTGCTACCAAAACCTTGCCATGCAAACTCAATACAGAATGTGATACCACAGCTGGAGCTTTAAGCCTCCAAGGAGGTATTTTGCTGCCAGCCTGGTGGCAAAGCCCGGCCAATGGGGCCACCAGTGCTCAGTGGGGAGCTGCCATGTTGCACCTCCTCACCCCTGCCATGGTGAGCAGGCTCAGGAACTGGCACTGGTGCCTGCTGATTTAACTGGAGCATCAGCAGCATTTCAGCAATGAAATGTGAATTAACAGCCACTTATGCCATCACTGAAATCCCTGGGTGAGGGACAGTCCCTCCCCTCCCCACTCTCACCCTGGCTGTCCTGAAGGGACACACCTTCCTCCTCCCTGCCATCCTCATGGCCACCCTGCAGGACATGCAGAAAGATGACCTCTATTTTCTTTGGAAATGTGAATAAAAGCCATTGCTAAGCTGGACTGAATGCCTCCTTCCCATCTCGCCCAGCCTGGCAGGAGGCGGGCAATGGCAGCCCTGCAGCACGTCACAGTCCTCCAGCAGCCCTGGGTGGGAGCCTCACTGCAGTAACTGAAACACCCCATTTTCCCTCAGAAATCACATCCATTTGGGGCACAGGGGCCCTGAGCAAGGCACAACCCCACTTTGGGTCTCAGCCCCCAGCCGCAGGGTGACAGCGCCAAGGAGGATGAGCCGTGCTGACCCCAAGGGCCCTGAGTGCCATCTTCTCTCTTCCCAAGGAAGCGCAGCATTCCTGTGGCATTAGCAGCTCCCCCTGCACATAGCTGCCTCCTCCCATCAAATTACAGCCCCAGCACAGCTCATGCATTGCAGTCATGTTGCTAAAATCAAATGTTTACCCAAGCAAAATAAACATTAGCAGGGCAAGGCACGAGACTGTGTCGGTGCAAACCCCGGCGATGCTGCCCTCAACCCTAGGCAAGCATGCTGCCATGCCAGTGCCCCCATGTCCACTGCACCATCCTCCTGCCTTTCCTCTCAAAACCAGCTCTTTTTTTTTTCCCCTCTGTGGAACTAACACCCTGAGCAGCTGTATTTGATGTGACACACACTCTCATTTGTAGCAATAATGAAATATTGTAATTCAGAGCAAATGGGCTTGAGGTGAATACAGGTATGAGAAGGGTTGTCAGTTATTTGGAAGGACGTGGCTGTGTCTTTCCTCTGGACAACAAGCACCAAATGTTTTGCCCAACCAGGGCTTATGACATCAGAGAAACCAAGGAAATCAACCCCTGTCAGCTAGAGCAGCTGATTTTCCTTAAAACCCAGGATATTTTGGGGACACCCCTAATGCAAACATCTGGAAGACCTGCTCAGAGGGGTCTCCCCAACAGTCCCAAGCCCTTGATGCCATAGCTCCTGCTGATTCAGCAGAACTGCAGGTGCACCAGAAGCCAACGGACACAGAAATGCATTGGGTTGAACAACCTTGTGACAGGAAATGCTCCCGAGTATTACCATCTTCTGACTCCAATGAATCTGTAGCCTAGAAATCAAAAATAACCATTTTCCACCTCCCCAGTGAAGCAGCAGCAGTTGTTTCCCACCAAGACCTGCTTCTGAGGACATAGCTGAAATGTTTTACCCCAGGCCTGGACACCTCCAGAGTTGAAAATACCTGGGCTTCGGCCCTGAGCCAAGGTGATGCCAGCTCTCCCCACAGCCACGGCCATCCAGCCCACAGACAACCCACACCCATGCTCTCACATCACATCTTAGGAGGCATCACTGACAGCCCCATTATCTTCCTCTGTCCTGATCAGATCCCAACACCAAACAAGGACATCTCCAGAATACTCACTACTGCTTACCAATAGGCTTTGGCTCACTGAAGGGTGAACAAGAAATAAAGTTAACCCCCTCCTTCAGCCAACTTGGTGGCTTCGGGGAGGCTTGGACTCCTGCTGTGACCACAGGGAAAAGGACAACTGTCCTTGTGGTTTAACCCCAGCCAGCAACTAAGCACCACGCAGCCGCAAGCTCACACCCCCTGCCCCAGTGGGATGGGGGAGAGAATTGGAAGAGTGAGAAACACTCCTGGGTTGAGATAAGAACAGTTTAGTAATTGAAATAAAGTAAAACAGTAGTAGTAATAACAACAATATAATAATAATATACAAAGCAAATGATGCACAATGCAATTGCTCACCACCCACCGACTGATGCCCAGACAGTTTCCGAGCACAACTGCTGCCCCCCAGCCAACTCCCTGCAGCTTATATACTGAGCATGACATCATATGGTATGGAATAGCCCTTTGGCCAGTTTGGATCAACTGTCCTGGCTGTGCCCCCTCCCAGTTTCTTGAGCACCTGGCAGAGCATGGGAAGCTGAAAAGTCTTTGACTAGCATAAGCAGTACTCAGCAACAACTAAAACATCAGTGTGTTACCAGCATTATTTTCATCCTAAATCCAAAACACAGCACTATGCCAGCTACTAGGAAGAAAATTAACTCTATCCCAGCCAAAACCAGGACAGCTGTAAAAAGCCACCTGGCCACGTGTCTTGGCTCTCCTCCCTTGGTTCAATGGCACTGGCAGCAGCAAGCCACAACCTCACCATCTACTCGCTCTTTTCTGAGCGCAAAACAGGGAAGGTGGTGGCTGGAGACAGAGGACCAAGGTCTTGTAGCAGCTGAAACTTGTCCGTAGAAGAGCTGACACATTGGGGACTATTTGGGCTTTTTTAGTCCTTAGACCAGAGGCACCAGCAGATCAACGTGCTCTGCATGAAGTCAGAAAAACTGCTGCAAGACCAATCTGTCTTCACACACTGACTGTCCTCCAAAAGTAAGACAGCAAATGCCTTGGGGTGGGGTGCTGTGGGTGGATTTCACTGTTGGCTAAAACATGGGAACAACTTAGGAATGGAACGCAACATGACAGGCTGGCAAATGGGTTAGACGGCTCAAAAACCAGTAACCAGTACAGGATCAGCCTGGTTGAAGCCTCCACAGAAGGGATGTGCCTGGAGATGTCCTAATGACGAATGAAAACCATCCAGGAGTCCATGTATCTATGCAACTCCGAACAAATTTGCACTTTTCCCTGTTTCTGTAGTGAAGCTTCAGTGCCAGAAGCCCTTAAGAATGGTTACACGTGTCCACAAGCACTACTTGAAAATATAACAGTAATTTAAAAAAAAAAAAAGTCATTGAAACATCTATCCATTTTTTTTTAACCAGGTAAAAAGCCATTTACCACTCTCTAAACCAGTCCCCAGATCTGTGTGCTCTTAACCCACCAGCTGAGATGGAAGCTGTGCTGGCAGGTGATGGCAGCCCATGCCACCAGACGCAGCCACAGTTCTCAGGCCATTTGCTCTGCTTACCCTCGCTGGAAGATTTAATTCCTGCCCTGGCTTGCAGCTTTTCCAGCATATTTGCAGCCTCTCTTCAGCCCTCAGTAAAACTTTGCTGTGTGAACTGACTGCAGGAAGACCTGACGATATTTTGTACTCATCTCCCTAATAAAAACTCTGCAGCTTGCCTATGGTCATGCATCTGCCACCAGGACAGCAGCAGCATAATGTGAGCTACGGTATGTCAAATAAACAACATTTCACCATGCCAAAGCCACTGTTGCTTAGAAACACCTGCAACAGTCCTGAAACTTGGGCAAAGCAGAACTCATGTTCTGTTCGCTGCTTTTTGCTTGAACACACTACTGAAAAGCATTAAAGGGGAACAGGGCAACATGCATCCAGCCCAACTTTTCATTTTCACTATGAACACCAACACCCCCAGAGAATACTC